ATCCTTGATTGCTGCAGCTAATGAGGGGAGGGAAATAATAAACCTTATGACATCTTAAATACAGAAAATTTTTTAAAATTTTCATCCCAATGCGAACTGTTCTACTGAAGGGAGGTGGTAATCAAGCATTATATCAAAAGATTAATCTGTCATCTATTTCCTGTACTTGCGATAGATAAGTGTACTTATTTCCAGAAAAGAAAAAAAAAAGTGGCTTGAAGGCAGTCAGTCGGAAGGAAAGAAGTAGAAAGTAGTCTGGATAATCCATAAACTGGCCAGTCTCTGAATAAATCAAGAGGAGGTTTTGCATTAAGGAATTAGAAGTGTCATTTCCAACTTGTGATTTCTACAAATATTGGATTCTACTCAAGCTGGATTTTAAAAGCAGATAAAGAAAGCCAGAATTAAATGGAAGCCTGGAAGAACGTCACCTATTCTGAATTACTTCCAAGTTTCAGTGGCAAAATAAGATATTGGTTTGAGCATAGCAACTTCCTGACCTCTCTGCGCTGGTAACACACTAGCAAGAAAAACCATCCAGTTACGTGCAAGAGAAAGTAGCTGATTAAAAAAGAGCAAAAGAAAGAACATGTCTATGTTACAAAGTTAAACATCACATCAGCTTTTCTGAAATACTTCAGAATTTCAAAAAAAGTATTTAAAAATACTTTGGAATTTAAAAAAAAGTAAGCAAGCATACAAAATGTATTTTGAAGCTTTTTCATTTAGGTGTAGGTTAATGTGTTCCATGTGCCACATTGTATTTTGAAAGAATACCACAAGAAATAAACTATTATTAGAAAGTTCTTGTGAAAAAAAATCTCCAAAGCTCTTCATTAAATTTTTAAAAATACAAGCAAATTTCATAAGGTTTAAGAGAAAATGTTTGGGTTTTTTTCAGCCTTAGTTGCCAGAAACATACCACACTATTTGTGATAAACACCTCATTTTCATGGAAGAAGCCAAATCTAATTTTATGAAAATGGGACATTATGGAGGAAGGAGAAGCTGAGGCTTTACTATGGAAAAGGCTACAGCAGAAAACACTTGTCATACCACACTCCCCCCTGCCAGAAACACGTATTATAAGTTTGGAAGCCTTACTGCTTTTAGAGAGTCTTATCAAGAAGTTTTCATAAACTCCTGGTTAAAATATGACTAAGCATATAAACAGAATGAAGCAGATATAAGATTAAGTCATTACATACCAAGCTTAAGAAATTCCAGGACACCACAATAAAGTTATGATTTGTCTATCTATCTTTCAATAATTCAGCCTAAAACGTGGCTTGCAACCGTCCCCCAAACAGAACTAATCAAATAACTCCATTTACCATATAAATAAGTCATAAAAGGCCTCAAGACAGATATAAACAGGAGCGGTTACAGTAGCTAATAATGACTGTTTGAAAGAGGGTGAGGGGGCCAACAAATCATAATACTGTTAACACACAGACAAAACATGAGTTGTCAATTAGCTTTTCAAAGTGTTGACGTGTCTCCCCTTTACAAAAATATTCATTCTCAGTATTGAGTTTATGCCTAATAAAAAAATTGCATAATAAAAATATTACTGATTAGAATCCAATATTTGCAGAAATCACAAGTTGTATATGAAACTTCTAATTCCTTAATGCAAGACCACCTCTTGATGCATTCAATTACTGAACAAACATAAACACCATTTATGCCTAATTAATAAAAATTATTGCATCTATTAGTGATTATCAAATGCATTTTTATAATTTTGTTTTCAAAATAATGGGAAGAAAATCACATAGGTGACTACTGCTATTTATGATGGTCTCCCCCATACAAAGATTTTTCCAGAAGTAAAGGTCAACATTCTATATTCTCAATCCTCTGACTTTATTTTGAAATAAAACAGAGTTAAATGATATATTTACTCCCTATTTTAGACTGGATGCAATTGATTTTAACTGACTAAATTATCTGATCTCTGCCAAGAATTTTATTTCATTAAGAAAATGATATTATGGAGCATCTGAGATCATAGAGCAGACTAAACATAATGCCAAAGGAGTTCTGAGAATGCTCCACAGTGAAGGTTTGATTATTTGCAGATGGAATATGGAAAAAAAAGAAAAAGAAAAAGGTCCCAGGGGTAAGCCTAACCAATCCTGGTACCACCGCTGCGTACATCATAGCACAAAGCCAAGAAAATAACTGATCTTCAAAGCCACAACACCTTTTTTTTAAAGTACTAATCACTTTTCTTCCTAGAAAGTAATATTTAACTGCCAGTATCCAAAACAAAGGGGAAAAGGTAAATGTTGGTACCACAATGGGCTCTAGCAAGCCAACTGTCACTGCTGACATGATTTGGCTAGTAATCAAGCATGCACCAAGGAACTAATTTAAATCAATCTCCTTTGGGAAAACCAATTGTTTGGTATGCACAACAATTGGTGTAGGATCAATCAGTGGACATGAGATCAATTAAAACCAGCTTAAGTTTGTGAAGAGGGACAATTCACACAACTTGAGTTAGATCTTTATTCATTTCAATACTCTCACAATGCAATCCTTAAGCTTCCCTGCAAAGCAGAAAAGCTACTATCACCCTACACTGTCTAGCCAGCCCTTTAAGTAGTTCCACTTTTAATTAAAAACACAGTACACCCTTTGTTGGCACAGATAGTGTGGTCACTTTTAAGAACCAAAGTTATTTTAACCAGAAACTTGGGATTTGGGAAGGGACATCTGTTAAGAAAGGGAAGGAAAAAAACTGATTTTTTTTTTTTTTTCTTTACGACCTTACCAATTTACATGTACTAGAAAGCATTTGAGTTTTATTAAATCGAAAGGCTGGTTTGGCAGAAGTTACTATCACACACGAATTGGCTTTCTAAATGTCAGAGCTTGGGGATGTGGATAGTAATTGCTACAAGAGATTTTGCTAAAGCAAGCTTTGAAATAAATAGGCTCTGCCTCAAATACCTTAGAAGACATATGCAGAACTTTAATAAGACAGCACTGCAGAGAAAGGCGTGCAGTATCGCTTCTGGCCGCAGGAGTGCTGTAATGCCATTCTCTACCAAACAGCATCTCTGCATTAAGATCTACTAAAACAATGTGCTTGATTCTTCTCCACTTAACCACAATGAGACAGGCAGTGGGGACCAGAAAGCGATCACTGACTTAGTAAGTCATCTAATAAGCAAGAATTGAGCAAAGGATTGTAGCCATTTCTATACTTTGCAAACTTTAAGCACGTTATAGTTTTTTTCAACTAAATAGACTGCAGCTTCGGCTTATAAGAAGGGGAGAAAAACTCTCCAAACACTTTTGACCACAGTGTAATCAAAAATTGCCGGCTCTGCTGAATAATATCTCGGAAGAAAATACTGGGGTGGAGAAAGGAGCCAGTTAAGACGGCAGGGGGGGAGATGGAAAGAGACTTTTCAAAACACATCAATATCAAACTCTCATGGCCTCTGGGAAGAAATTTCTCCCTAGTATTTTTAAGTGGGATAATTTCTGAAAAGCAGCAGCATTTTCTAAATGTTGGGGGTGGGCGAAGAGCGAGCGAGGCGTGGATGTGGGTGACTGCATCCTTCTTACAAGCCGTAGATACACAGCGGCAATCAGAGAACAGTCTACAGAAGTCGCACACCATCAGTCATCTGAAGCTTTGCCCTCGGATGGCCCAACCTCAAGCTCTGCCCATAGGTGAGAACAACCTAAGGACGTCCTAAAAAGCTATCAAAAAGTAAGGCTCCAAAAGCCTTCTCCAAAATCTGGATGCAGGACCAGAGACCAGAGAGTCCATAAAATGAGTTATACACAAATCACCTCACGGGTGGAATGAGACATTTATATCCCGAGGGAGGGGGGAGAGATCAAAATCTACGAATCTTGTCACAGATTCTGACTTCCCAGAAGTCCCAACTGCTGGTTGAACACAGTTCTCACCGGGTGCCTGCGAGGGGCTGCTGCGCCCACATTCTCTGCGCGGGTAATTCAAGGTGCGTATATGTGTGGTGGTGGTGTGGTTTATGTTTAAATCCCCCAGAAGACTTAATTGTGTCTAGCAGCACCTCCTCTAAAATGCAGTTGGATTAGCTGCAGCCCCAGCAGGATTCGGAGACAGAAATATGCGCGCACCAAATCTCCAGGAAAGCTAGTTCTCTCACAGCTCTTCGGAGGGCTTCCACTCGCCTTTCCCGCTGCGCACATAGTGATGGAGAGGGCAGGGGCGGTTAAGAAGCCGCAAGTGAATCTCATCGAGAACAGAAAGCCTTTTCCGAAATAGCTGCTTAAGAGGGAAGCAAATAGAGGAGGCAGAGTTAGGTTTAATTTTTAAAATATCACTCTGCAGGGGAGCATTCCCCCCAGAACACCAGCGCATGAGTTATTGCTCAATTCAGAAAGTTCTCATCTCAGGTTCCAGAAAAAAAAAAAAAAAAAAAAAAGAGAGAGAGAGATCAATTGTTGCCCTTTTCCTGGAAACCTAGGTCCTTGCTCTTGTCTCGGTACCCCTCCTCAGCTCCTAAACACTCCAACACACACTTTGCTAGGCCGTGTCCGAAGAGATCTGGGGCCGGGATTTGGGGCGCACGTGCGTGGGAAAAGTAGGCAAATGAGCAGCAGGGAAGATGTTAGGACAAAAAGAGACAGAAGAACAAGAAAAATGGATGCCCAGATAAGCGTGACCGAAGGAGAGAAGAGTTCAGGAGCGAGGCGTTGCAGCGATCGTGGGTGAAGACCGCACAACTTAGCCCTGGAGCGCCTGCGAGGCGCCCGGCTCACCGGGCTCCAAGCGCGTCTCGCTTCGGCTCACCGAGCCTACTGGGGACAGGAGAAACAGTATTCTGCAGAGCTCCGGGGCCCAGAAACTGGAGAGCAGTGGCCCACAAGAGCTGGGGTGAAGGGCACAGTCCTGCCCATCTGAGCCCCGGGAGCCCGGGCGTGTGTGAGCGCCGCGAATGCCCCACCCACCCGAGGACCCCACGCACCTTCAGCAGAGAAGGACCCACCTCGCTTACTGCGTCTCCATCGGTTGCCTTGGCAGTGGCTATAATCCATACAATTCAGAATGATGAGGGCAAAGGAGAAAAGGCGAAACTGCATCTGGACGGTCGGGCGGGGGAGAGATGCCTCTCAAAGTCTGGGAACTGGAGGGCTCATCCAAGGAGCCGGCGCCGGCCGCGCTGATGCGGAGGACTCACAGGGAGAGTCGCCACTAGCCCTGGGGCCGCGCTGCTCACCTGGGTGCAATCAGCATCTCTCCACCGTGAACCTGAGAGACGAGGAGCGAGAAACAGGGTGGGTAGGGGATGGAGAGAGATCCCCGGGAGGCAGCGGCGCCTTGGCGCATCAGAATTTAAAGAAGGGAGGGAAGGGGGCGGCGAACCCGCTGCCTGGCACGAGCCGCGGAGACGCTTAATCCAGGGCGCGCAGCTGCGGACGATTTGGAGAGGAAGGTGATTACAATCAGTGAATTAGCAACCTCTGCCGAGCTATAGGCTCCGACCCGGGGGAAAGGGCGTTGTGCTGGCGCCCCGGCAAAGGAAAGAGCTCAGATTTAAAGAGCGCTCTTGAGCCCGCTGGGCCCCACGGAGGGGTATCCCCGCGCCGCGACTGCGGCTGCCAGGCGTGGGTCGCCTACCGTGCGCACGTACGACTCGGGCGGCGCGGCGTGCCGAGGCGCGGCGCTCCATCCCCGGCTCTGCAAGCGAGCCGCTGCCTTAGCACGTGGGCTGGGGAAAAGTTTGCCAAGCCCAGCCGGGAGCGCCTAGCAGCTCCGGGATCCCGGCGGCCTCCGCGGGGTCGGCGTGCGCGGAGGGTCCTCTGGGCCGGCGGCGCCGGGCAGCAGCGCGGTGTGGCGGGAGCGTCCGCAACCACTGGGATGCTGCGTCCCCGCCCGCGAGTGCGATCCCCGGGCTGGGGGTGCGCCCGCGCTCGCTCTCTGAGTCCCTATCCAATTCTGCCGTTTTCCGGGCTCTCTCCCCGGTCGCTTCCCAGCTAAGGTTTCGCCCTCTCCAAGCTGTGGGAGACAGAACGCTGCCCGGAGTCCAAAGGGATGTGGCGAGCGCACTTTCCGATGGAGATGCAGGCGGGCTAAGGCTCGGGATGCTTCTATAAGTAGGTGGTGCTGTGGTCCAAGGCATCTAAATCTAGGCTGCCTCGGAGTTCCTGGGTCCTAAAGCCAGAAACGCTAGGGTTTCCTTGAGGTCCTAAAGAGCGCTGACAGCCTACGCGAACCTAACCCCAAGCGATTCTCCCTCCAGGCTATTCAAGAGGGGACAGATAAACTGAAGAGTGGCCAGGGTCGGAGGTGCCGACCTTGCTGGTCCCCGGGGCACCGCCGTTCATCCCCAAAGCGTCCTGTCTGGCGCTCTGGGGTCAGTTCTAACCTCAGTGCCAGCCTTCCTCCAGGGGGGTCTGACCAGCACACTGATACCCTCCCCTAGACCTTCCTTCCCGACCTCCGAGCTTGGGACAGGGACTGCTGCTTCTGACAGACAGTTTAGGCCACTTGAGGCACATCCCTCAAGATGCCACACCTCCGTTACTTTTTAATTCACATCTTGGCTTTGTTTTATAAGAAGATATGTTAGCGTGGATGAAATTAAAACGTGCCTTCAGTTTAGGGAATGAGATTTGTATTTCCAATAGCTTTTGCTTATCCTCAGCACTGTTCATTCTTGACTTTGTTTCTCCTCCAGGAAAATTTACAAAAACCTGCGGTCCCTTACTTGCAGTACCGAGTAACTGGCACCTTGATTGTTTAAAGAAAATTTTACTTTCCACTGAAGTATTTTTCATTCTTAATTTTCTTCCTTCCTCCTCCCACTCCCAAAGCCTCCCGAATTGAATTTCCAGATGCCTTGGATTAGGGGAAATACTCTGTTTAGCAAGTGTTACATTAAATACACTTGATACTACCCAATTTCATTCTGGTGAAATCTTCTGTCCTTCATTCACTACTATAGGAAAGAATGTGTTTACTCCCTAAGCAAAAGATAAGCATTTATACTGCTAACCATGGAGGTATGACTGTCCCTATAGATATGCCCACAGGTGTATTATTATGAACATTTTATACTACTTAATTATCTTTGCTATTCCTCAGTTTCAGAAGATGTTCAGAAATTTGGTGACTTAAGACAATTATGTAGAAACAAGAATATTAATAGTCATGTTTATAATCTATTTTATTAATGCCTATCCAGAACTATTTTATGGACATCATTATTATATAGCAGTATTTATGTGCCAAGAATTTCAGTGTTAGTCCCTTTATGCATGCCTGAGAACACCCAAGTACGAGTATATCTAACTTTATAGATAAGAAAATCCAGACCTGAAACTGGCCCAAAGGGTACAAATAGAGTTGACAAAACACATTGCAGAAACAGTGGATCTGTTTCTCTGCTTTCTGAGTCCTTGATTTTTATCACAGAATTTGGAAGCGATTAGAAACATTTCAGTCTAGAAAGAGGCCCAGCATTTGGCATAATGACTTAATTCCACTGAATCTCTCTCCAGCATCATAAATACCACTTCCTCCCAAATATAATCATGCATGCACACAACAAATGTATTGCACTTGTGAACCAGTTAAATCTGTGGGAGAAAAAAAAATTCTCTAAATAAGCCTCCTGCATTACTGTGTAGCTTTGAGATCCATTCAAAGTCAGTGTTTAAAATATTCAAAGGCAAAAATAAGCCTAAGACCAAGCAGATCTGACTCTACCATTAAACCACCTGGACTGCTTTGGGCAATTCTCTGGATCTCAGTTACCATGGTGGTATTTTCAGGACACTGGACCAATGTCTTTCTCACCTCTACCATGGTCTAGTTTACAATCTTTTTTTTATTATTATTGGTAAGTTTGCTGTGGGGTCTAATCATTGTGAGGACAAACTCATCAGTGATAGGTTCTCCATGTAGAAAGTAAAGAGCCACATTATCCTTTGTTAAATTTATGGGCCACTTTCAACCTTTTCCCTTCAAAGATAATTTAATCCATTGGGTTGCATGGTCGATATTTTTTTAACCAAAGGTACTTATCAGTTTAGTGAAACACTAGATTCAGTTCATGAAAAAGAATATTAACAGTTCCACTTCTATGGAAAGTTGGTTAATGCGTTTAAAAAGACAAGAATAGGCTCTGGGAGAAAAGATTTCTAACTCCTTCTTCTTATATTCCGTCTTGGTCTGTCTCTGGTTTTTAAGTGACAACACTGAACCTCAAAAATCTGTCAAACTTAGTTCTTGGGGTAGAGTCACATACTTAATTTTTTGGCAGATAATTAGTTGATAATACAGATCTTTTTTTCTGCCATTCACTGAATATTTTTCCTGCAGATAATTAGTTGATAATACAGATCTTTTTTTCTGCCGTTCACTGAATATTTTTCCTGATTTCACAAACCCAGGAATGTTCTTGCTACTAAAAAATACAACCCTAGCAGATACTAAACTATCATTAACTTTAATCTCATATCTCTGCTTCCTCTAATTTCTAAACTCTGAATGTGTTGTTGTTGAGGCTCAAGGCTCAGTTTCCCCATCTTGAAGATTCGATGGACTTTTTCTTCACCCTGAGTTTTTATGGTGGTCTCATTAAACTGGCTTTGTAAATAGACATATGCCTAGTGTCTGTTTACAGATAAGCATACTGGTGAGGTTGACTCCACACCACTCATGGCTGATAGAGAAGGTTAACTGAGGGCAGGGTGGGGGACAACGTTATAGATGGGTGGCGACTTTGGTTTTTTACTTTTTTGATTTGTAATTCATTTATACAGCTTAAAATTCAATCCTTACAAGAGAGCATCCAGGGAAAAGGCTCTCTCACCTTTCTTCCCCATGCAGCCAATTCTTAGAGACAATCAGTTATTCTTGTATAAAACTTGTATATCCTTCCAAGTTTTGAGTATACTTCCAAGAGATATTTTGTGCTTATCAAGCAAATGCGTGTGTGGTGTGTGTGTGAATATATTCTTCCCTTTCTCTCTTCTGTAGCTGCTAGAATACTGTATTCACTAACCTGCACCTGATTTTTTTTCAATGTATCTTAGAGTGTATTCAGCATTAGTTCATAGAAAACTTTCCTGTCCTTTTCATACAATCACACATCTTTTCATTATATAGTTATATTTAACCAGTTTCCTACTGATAGACATTTAGATTGTTTTCATACTTCTTCTGATGTATAAAATGCTTCAATTAACTTTTTCATGGGTCATTTTACCTTTGCATTATAAATTCCTAAAAGTGGAAAAGTTGGTTCAAACAGTTGGACGTGTGTGTGTGTGTGTGTGTGTGTTGTGTTTTCTTCAAACTGCCTTCCGCAGACAGAGAAACTCACCAGATTTTTTTTTATTTTTTATACTCAGGCAAAAAGTGGTATCTCAGTAAAGTTTTAATTTGTATTTCTTTTAAATTGAATTATGTGTGTCTTTAGTCTGCTCAAGCCATATTTATTTCCTTTTCCAGGAACTCTGAAGATATCATTTGACTCATTTTCTAAGGTGTATTTATTTCTGCTTGTATCAATATATATTATCTTGTGTGATTTGAGTTACAAATATTTTTCTAAGCTTATGATGTGTCTTTTAGCTTTGTTTTTCGATGTGTATTTATGTGTAGAAAATTCTAAAATATTTTTAGCTACTTGTAGAGGATCAAATGTCCCCCCAAACTCATTGAAGCTTGAACTGTGTCCTCCAAGTTTTATGTATTAGAAACTTGGCCTGTGCTGTGACAGTTGGGAGGGTGGGAAATCCTATCATGGTAATTGAAAGGTGGAGCCTTGAAGAGGTGATTAGATTGTAGGACCATGCAGTAGTGAATGGATTAATAATGGTGACCATGGCGTGGTTCTGAGGGCTTTAAAAGAAGAGCACATGAGAGGTTAGTCTCTCTCTGCTCTGTCATTTTCTACAGTGTGAGACCCCTGCTTGCTGTAAGGCCACCACCAAAGAAGGCCATCACCATAAGTGTTCCCTGGACTCTGGACTTCCCAGCCTCCAAAACTGTTAAGAAATAAATTTCATTGTTTTATAAGTTACCCAGTCCCATGTATTTTGTTATAAGCAACAGAAATGGACTAATACACCAGTGAAATTCCTCAATGTTATTTTTTCAAGTTTCTCTATTTCTCTCATACTTTCAAAAGCTTTCACTATGTATTCTTTTAAATTTTTCCTTTGAGAGTTTTCTAGTATATTTTTTTCAGTGTTAAAAACCATAGGATGTTAGTAATTTTACGACTGTACAATGGGGGC